ATGACTGACTGGAAGAAGCCTGTGTCTCACAGATGTCAGGTATATAGCATTGGAATGGGCTGCCCAGGGAAGTGGTTGAGTCCCCATCCCTGGAGGTATTTAAAAGATGGGTAGACGTGGTTCTTGGGGACATGGTTTAGTGGTGGGATGGCAGGGTTAGGTTAACGGTTGCACTTGATGATCTTGGAGGTCTTTTCCAACCTAAACAATTCTATGATTCTATATACTGATTGACTTAATGTACAAGTGAGGTTCAAATGGTTCAATAATGAAGGCAGAGACATTCAGACTCCTTTAACAAAGTAAAAGACAGAGATACATGGAATCCACACCTATAAAATGGAATGAATGAATTTTTTCTGGTTCTCCAGAGAAGAATTTAAATATATGTCTCTTTAAAAGCATCCATTCAGCTTCCGTGGTGTATTTTAACATATTTTAAATATATTTTAAATTAATAAAATATATAGAATGGCAGTAAATTCTATTTCATCAGAAGCTGTAACAGTAAATAAGCTCATCAGTTAAGTTAAATCTGTCATTGGGAGTAAGGTTCAGATGGAGAAGGTTGTTTTACACTTGAAATTTTGTAGATGGAAATTAGGAAGAATATTTGATTTCAGAAACTTGTACATTTTGCCTTTTTTTTTTTTTTTGCTTGTGAATCTCACCAAATCTCTCTTTTTATAGCACTCATGCTTGTTTTCAAAGGCCGTGTGATGGTTAGCTAATAAGGGGTATAAAATAGTCCATACACAACATGTGATCAAGTTGCTAAATGTTAGTGATGATTTCGGATAGACTTTCTTTTTAATGTAATTTGCTTTTCGTGAAGAAACACAAATTTTACAGGCCAGAGCTGTCAGCCAGCTATTGGCCAAGATCAGCAAACTTGACAGGAGTGAAAAAAAGTCTTTTGTGGTATTCCATCCATTTTTATTCTTATAACAAATTGCACCGTTTTCATTTTAATTAAATCTGTAAATTGCTGTGAATGACTTCCAAAGATCTGTGCCTCTCAGGACATACATTAAATAGAATTTTTTTTTTTAAATGCATGTTTTGAAGCAGATGCCAGAATTTGTCAGGAGGTTAAAAAGCATGCATTTCTAAATTAATTAATTTGCATTAGCAATCCCTTCCACTGCTTGCATTTGGAGTTTTAACTTTGGTAAACCAGTAACTGATGAGGTATTATAAGGCCATTTTATTTTTGTGAATACCTAGAAAATTCAAACCATCTGGAATCTAAAGTACTGTTTTTCTTGCTGTTTTTCCTGCAATTTCCATCAATAATGCACAATTATTTTCCACTTTAGTTCTGGTTCATACAAGTGGCTTTCCCTTTTTTTTTTTTTTTTTTTTCTTTTTTTTTTTTTTTAACCCACTTGCCAAGGAATTTGCACAGAAGCGACTGCTTCCTCGGAGGGGGAACAGTTGGTCGTCTTTGTCTGGAGATGGCACAAGAGCTTGCACGGCATTACGGGGTGGTAAGATACATGAGGCTGCCATTTCACCGCAGATTTCATGTAACACAGTGTACAGTCCTTGCAATGAAGAACAATTTTTAGGATTCAGTTAACTATCAGCTTGGCAACGCATTTATTTCATGCTGAGATCACAAAAACCATCTGTTGATAATTTGCTTTCTTACGGACCTCAGACTCACATCTCTGAATAGAAGTATCTAAAGTCATTGCCTAAGCCTGTAATGATTCTTATTTAAGGCTTATTTACAGTGAATTGAATGCAAATAAATCTTATTTTTTTACAGCATCATTAAAAATCTGATTATAATGAAATATTTAATGCTAACAGGGGCAGAAGCAGTTAACAATGATCCAAATTCTGTCGTCGGTTTCTTTGGGAACACTGTTATTATTTCTTAAATGGACAGTTTTGGCTGTTTAATCGGTTATCCTGACACAGCGATAAATATTTGCAATCGGTTGTATGTCATAGTCACAGTTATACATCCTAACATAAAATACAAGATTATTTTAATATTTTCAGTGTTTAAAAATTGCCGTGATTTATGCTGTATTTTTAAGTCAGGAAGCAATAACTGTAATTGTATGTAAAAACTTGGCATTTGGTGGACAAATGTCTAATGTAAATATATGCATGAATTTGAGAAGGTATTTTAAGGATTGGAAAGGGCTGACATTACAACCAGGTAATTAAACTTATTCCAAATGGCATGCAACTGTGGGGGTGTCTGCTCAAGGATACTGTGAACTGTGAACCAAAAGAGCCGTGAAAACTGATCTGCGGGGCAGAAGGGAAGTTTTGGCCTGATGCCTAAAAGTATGCTAAACTTTTCCAATAGCAATCTATTGCTGAAAGCGTCCAAGAAATTATTTTATTAGGTAGCCTGTGTTGAAAGGTAGATCAGTTTGTGACAGAGCAATACTCTGCATGTTTTTATCAGACTTAAACCAATTAAATAAAAAAACTTCCTATTTCAATATACTTAAAAAAATACTTAAAGTTGTTAAATTTGTGTTCAATGGATTTAAATTTCATCAATATTGAAACATGTTGTATGAGAATATTATACGGCATGATTATTGGCTATTATTGTACTAATAATTTTGGTAGCTTTGAAATTAAAACCCAAGATTATACCAGGCAAGATGTGTTCAATAAATTGGATTTTTAGTCAGAGGAGATTTGATATCTTGTAGGGATCCTTTTACTATCAGCAATATATTATCACATACAGAATTTTAGAAAGTATACGAGGTGTGATATTGTTCTTTTTTCATTGCTATAGTGGGATTCCTCATTCATACAGCTTTTTTCCCCTTATTCGTTATAGAACATTAAGTATGATGGAGTTTGTCTTTAACATTTCAAAAAAAAAAAAAAAAAAAGAGTTTTTGGTTAGTTTCTGTTTTAAATTTCTCTACCTCCATGTCTATTCCTCCATATTCAACCTGTACAGCTTGAATGCCAGGAAGACACTCTGTGCTTGGGGATTTCAGTGTGGCTTGGCTTGTCACAGCTAGAAACCACAGAAGAAAGGATGGCCTTCCACTTGGCTGGCACGAAGCATTTCCACCAGTTATGAAGAATTTGGGGAACTGGGCTGTGCTTCTTTGGGAAGCACAAGCAATTTACAGGTCATCTGCAAATTGCATTTTGTCATGGACTTGCCACTGAAAACGTTGTTGTGAAATAGTGGAACAGGTTGATCAGAGAGGTTGTGGGACCTCCATCCTTAGAGGTGCTGAAATCATGCCTGAACGAGCCCTGGGCAACCAGCTCCAAGGGGCCCTGAGTAGGACCAGGTGACCCAGGTGGTCTCTGCCAAATGATTCTGTTTGTACCTGCATTTGTGGGGCAGGAAGGAAAAAGATGGAAATTGAAGCCAGTGTGGGAGTTTGTCCAAAACTGAAGCGTTACAGATAAATTCAGATTTTAAGACTGGCCAAATTTTCCTAGACTGATCATTTTTATCATTGGCCTGCATGATGTTATAGTTTTGTGGAGGTGTTAAAGAAATTTCTGAATGGTTTCATCTTGTTCTTTTTCCATGTAAGACTTTGTGTTAGAACCTCAACGCGTTGTTCTCTCTTAGTTTTCTTCGTAGAAAGGGTACAAACTTGAAATGTTTTCTGCTAATGCCCGTCTCCTTCACCTTAAACATTACAACAACAGTAAGCTGGGCTCTGATGACTCTTTTGAAAGACGTACTTCTTTAAACGTCCTCTTGGATTTTGCATACCTAAAAGCCAATAAATTTGTCTCCAGCCTTGCCATTGGTGGTGCATGAGTGGCTATAGGTGGTCTGATCCCCCCTGTGCTGTTTGGGTCAGAAGCTGTGATTGTAGTGCTAATCATCTTGGGGATACTTGCGTGGAGCATCATGCCCATAGGAGGGCTTCTGTGGTGCTAGATTTGCTGTTGCTGTGATTTTTTTTTTTTTCTTGTTTGTGAATGGTTTTGACATCTGGCATTAACGATGTGAGTACAAGTAGATTAAGAGAGAACTTTTACTAGTAGATGTGAAAAGAAAGTCACACACACCAATGGTTTTCAAAAGAAACAAAAGCAGCTTAGCTGCATTGGAGAGAATGCTCAGTTTGGTTGAAACATCCTTAAAAATGTTGGTGAAAGAAACCAATTTTGGGAAATACAAAAGGCTGTATGAAGATCACTTCATCTCTCAGAGAGAAAAAAGGCCTGGTTATGTAACCAGTGAATTTTTTTCATGCTTTTTTGCAGCCATCTTGTAGAAAGAAATGTGATAGAGAACCTACAGGTTTTTTGTATTGTAGCCTGAATTAAGAGGCAGCAGTCTATGTTTGTGGCAGAAGTATGTGCTAATTGTCCCACTGGATTAGAGAAAGCATGGGGCAACTAACACAGAAAGCTATAAAACCTAACTGAAAGTCAACCTAATTAAAGATTTCCCCAAAGTTGTGTTCCCTGTCATTTGCCCATGACAGTGTTGTGTTTTGTAATGCCCCCGTTATTAAGAGTTAAGAGGGGGCTCAGGTACTTTTAGGATAAGAGTTACAGCATACTCTTGTTTTTTGATAATTGTTTGTTAATTTAAGTGTATAATAGTAAACAGCAATTTAAAAAATTAGTTTCATGAGTTGTAAAATACCATATAGCTATTTTTTCCCTTAGTATCCCACTTTTACCTTACAACCTGTGGAAAATCATTATATGGGGCTGAGCATCTCTGACCTGAATGAAGAGTCTTGTGTACCTGCTGCAGCATTGCAGGAGGTACCACGCACTGTTTAGGTGCTTACTTAAGCTGAGACCAAAATCCTCCATAGACTGCTCACCTTGCAATAAACCTTTGCTTAACCCGTGCAGACTGTTCTAAGTAACTTACTGAAGTGATTCAGTTGTAAAACGTGTGCTAAAAGTAGCTAAAGGTAGCTTTAAAAAATGTTATAAAAGTTGCAAGAAATCTTGATGAGCTGGGATGTCTGTTTTGTAAATAACTAATTTGTGTGTGTGTATGTCTGTTGATGCAGGCCACAGAAGCGTTGTTCCGAATGGCAGTAGCAAGAGGAGCTATTAGACCTTTGAGACACGGAGAAGTAAGGCTAAATATATCCTTTTTTTTTTTTCTTTTTTTCTTCCCCACATGAGGTATAATGTTTTATTAATGTAATGCTTTATAAATTCTTGGGAGACATATTGTCTTCAGGTAAGTGAAGAGGGATAGACTGTATATAACTTGCATACCTATGTTACAGTTGTTTTAAAGGAGAGCAAGAATTTAAATTCTGCCCAGTGGGGGATTAAGTATTCTTCAAAAACCACTCTATTTTTCTCTTTGCCTGAATTACAATTTAGCCTTATAACAGAAGTGACTCACAAGAACGTCCTTTTAGCCAGGTGATTTTTCACTGGATTTTCTCTGTTGAAAATTGTAGAACCTAAAGAAATTCATATGAGGTTGATCATTGTATTGGGTAACTGGGGAGAGGTTACTTCATACTTTATCTGTTCCTTTAAAGAAATCAGTGACTTCAGTTAGTATTATTCTAAAGAGGATAATTATATTTTAATGTTATGTTGCTCATACATGCTTCTCTTGATGGTGAATATTTGTTTCCTTCTTTGTATGGTTTTATATCAGGTAAACATTGTTCTGAACATTGCTGATTACATGTCTCTGACATTAGGTAGTGGAATTTATGCTTAGGTTGAATTTCATTTAAAGAAAAAAATACTATAGTTAGTCGTGACACTGGAAATGAGAACTGATCTGATCATTGCCACAGCTGGATGCTATGGTTTTAACCATAGAAACCGCAGTGCTTTTTCATGTCAATCTGATTTTGATCAAATTCTTAGGTAACTTTGTGAAAAGTTTGTACATTAGACACAGCACTCAATCTGGAATCTAGATTTAGACTTACCCTGGAGTCCCAGCTGTGCTGTAAAACATTCCGTATGCTGATGAAATTGCCTTATTTTATCTTATGAAATAAAGTAGTGTATCTTTGCATCAGTGTCTGAAGATGTACCTGAAATTTCCTGTCCTGCCATTGTCCATAATTTTAGCTTTTCTGAATGTGGATCCTTTATACTTTTTAGGTACTGCTCTTCATTCTTTTCTACAGAAGAGTGAGATGCAGATTCTAGAAGTGTTAGTTACGGACTGTGTTCAGTTTTTTTCAGTGAAGGGTACTTAATTTTCTGTGTTTTAATGATCAGGTTTCTCAGAGAGTTTGTGGAATCTCCATCCTTGTAGTTACCCAGTAAATGGTGTGAATTATGGAAAAATCAAATGATATAGTTTTTAAAGTGTAGCTAATTGTATCATGCAATGCGAAATGCTGGGACTATTACAAACACAACGATCTCTGCTGTGATCTTGATTAGCAATTTCTCTGTCTGATACATCTTCCATTGAGCCAGTTCATCTCACTGATGTGGTGGAAAAGTTCCACTTTTTTTCTTCAGATATTCCCTCTGATCTTTTATCAGTTAAACTGCCTCAAGGCCTAGAGAGAACCAGGTGGGAAGCAGCAAGATAAGTGGTGAGAGGATGTAGCCATGATTAGCAAGAAAGGAACTGCATGAAAATGCGTCTGTTTGATGATGGTGAACTTTACGTTGGCGTACTGTGTCCTGTGACACTGTTTCCAAGGTAATCCTTGGGCTTCGGTGGAAATGCAGTTAATGCTAAGCTAGATAATTTATAGATAAAACTTGTAAGAACTGTCCAGAGTTGGTTGGCAGTGGGAGAAATAAAAAGACCTTTCTTCTCTCTCATATTTTTATCAGGCTATATGCCGGGGGAAGAATATTTTGACTCAAGGAAGATCTTTTTGTTAAATTCCATTGTGGAATTATAATTTCCTTAGTCTGAAAATGAGGAACGACATTAATCAAATGAAATTAATTTTTCCAGAAGAAACTTATAATTATCAAGAGTAATATTAAAATTTTTTTAGCTATTCCAAGAAATTGCTAAATGTTTGCACAGTGCGTAAGTAGAAAGGCAGCCAGAAAAAAAAGTTGAATATGAACTAAAGTTGACTGTATTGTGTTTGAGAAGTGCGAACTTGGCAGTGAAAATCAAAGCAGAGCAACTTGTTTATTGGAAATTCCAAACTACAGAGGCAGCAGTCCAAATGTGCAAAAGTGCTGTTCAGCTTTCGTAGCGGTACTTAAAACCCCATTTAACATTTAAGAGGGTGTAAAACTGTTCAATGCTAGAAGGCAAAAATTGTGTAAATACTTATTTGTTTAAATTAATAAATTAAAAAATGACACTATTCTGTCTGCACTGCTGAACAGATTAATGCACAAACATTCATTCTATACAGGCAAAACAGGGTGCATAAAAAACCTATCCATTATAATACAGTTGTCATCACCAGGTGGATTTATAATTTATAAGATTGAATGTCTATGGGAAATGCCTTTTCTTCTCCTTCCAGCCTTCCTCCATTCACTGGGACTCATCGAGCCTTTATGCATATAGGATTTTAATTTTTTCCTTTATTATTCTTGAAGAAATTGAAAAATGAGGTTGTACTGGTTTTTGACTTTTGCATGTGGTTTGTAAAATTACTGTTGAGAGTTGAGAAAAGTGTGCTGCCAAAAGCAGTTACCAAATTTGAGTACATACTACTAAAAATTGTGTAACTGTGGGATAAAGGTTCCTGAAGAATCTTCTCAGCAGTTCCTTTGCTCCTGGTTGGACTGAAGTAGCACCCATGGGAGGGAATCAAACCCAGAAACATAATTAATTTTCAGGATTCAATATGTTGCTTTTCATGGTCATTAGTTATTTCTGTCAGTTGATTTGTTTTGGGGGTGGAGCGTGAGGCAGAGCCTTATAGAGTTTGTTTCTGTTAGCACTTCTAGCTCGTTCCCAAATGATCCAAAAGTTGTATGAACAGATGTGATCACACCAAAGCTGTGGCTGTGCTTGTGTACAGACGTCTTAGGGTGCATTTCATTAATGTCACAATGTTCAGAGCTGGTGATAGGCATAGGTGAGAGCTGTGCTTTCAGGGTGCATGGACCTGCCGACACCTAGAGAGTTTCTCCAGCTGTTTCTTCTGCTTCTGTTCCTCATGCAGCAGGCTAAGATCTGCTATCTTCTGTTCCTCATGCTGTCCAGCCTCTTCTAGACAGAGCTGCTGTCGTCGTGGGTGCTGGCTGATTTGACAGCCGTGGTGGAGTTGAGGAAACAAGAGCAACTACAGCCTGCCTGCTGAAGAGGTTGAGAAGAGGACTAAGAGGTGGCTAGTGCTTCAGAGTTTACTGTTCATGGTTCCCCTGGAGCTTCTGCTGTTGTGTGCTCAACCCCCAGGGGAAAGCCAGGAGGAGGAGTATGGGTTGGCAGTAGTGGCTGTGAGAAGTTGCTGGATGCATGGTAGAAGGATGGAATACATTTGACACAGGTTAAGATGAAGTTCTCTCTACACGGAGAAAACTTCCCTAATTTTAGTTGCAAGTGACCAGTTTTATTCACATTGAGCAAGCGATATGCCAAAACCAGTGTGTCACATAAGTTACAAATCATGTGGAGGTACTGAACGAGAAGGAGGGATCTGATTAGGATGATTAGCTTGCAAGGCTGATGTTCTCAGCACCTGTAGAGGAGGGAAACAAATGCACACAGCCCATCCAGAGAAGGAGCAGGAGGTTAAATTGAGAGGGTGGAACCCTTAATGGAAAAAGTACTATGAAATATGTAGGCTGGCATGGACAATGGAGATACAGTGGTAGAGGCACGATTCCCAGAGAGCTGGAACTGATATCAGCCATGCATGAACTCTGTGGATGTTAACTCATTTCTTAGGACATTTTTATGGATTTGTAAACTGTCTTAATCTTTTCTAATCTGAAAAATTCTGGGACTTCCGATTGGAAGAATTCAGGCATGTATCTTCAGAGTTCATTAAGTCTATCAGGAAAAAAACCATTGCTCCCTCAGAAATGGAGAAGGGCCATGCCCCATGGATTGTGCTCTTCTGTCTGTAGTGTTAAGGCATGGGGGGAACCCTCAGTATGGTGGAACTTTCAAAATCTTCATGTAGTGCCTTGTGATGGCAAAGGTAGGAAAAAATAATTTTGCAGAAGAGAAAGACCTGCGTAGGAGTCTCAGAGCAAAGAAAGAACTTAGGCTATGTAATGGGCTGCATTTTATAAGGCCTGCAACAGCTGAGATGTTTTGAAGAGGTTTCAAGGAAAGGAAGAGAGTCTTTAGTCTGTAGCATTACAATAGAATGCCATTAATTTAGGATATTTGGTGGTTTTTTTCCTTCCCCACCCCGGTTATATAAAAGCCTTTGTTCATGAAATATCATGGGAAACAAAGTATACAAAGGGATTTCCAGGCTGTGTCGTTTAAGTTTCTGAGAGGTTCAGTTCACAGTAGTGGTTTGATTTAGCTGGGGTGCCTGGAGAGATACATACCCAAAGCTGCCTAAGGCTCTGTCTGATGAATATTACACTATAAAAAACAGGCGGAGGCTGAATGGTGTGTCCTGTTTCTCCTTCTCAGCCTCTTTAGTTCATTTCCAGGTGAGTTAATGATCACCCTCCAAACCGAGTTTATGTCAATTTGCTGGTGCTGACTCCTGGTTCCTTTGAGAATTACCAGTTACATTGCCCATATCCAAGAATGGGCGAAGTACAACAAATGCCCACCCATATTCGTGTGTCTTCTGTCTTGGAGATACAGCAGCAGTGCAGCTTAAATGGAGTTGTCAAACCAGTGCCCTCACAGATAATGAGGCTGAAGCATTCTTAGCTATAAAAATACAGTAGTCAACCAAATTTTAAGTATTAATAGAGATAAAAATAAAAGTAATTATCGTACAGCCTAAAATGGCTTATGGTCTTACAGTGTAATACATGTAATGGTATGCATTGCTATGGCAGTAGGTACCCATGCTTGAAAGTGTACTTTGTTGGAAGAAGACTTGTCTTTGCTTTTGTTTAAAGCTGTGTTTAATAGATCTCAGAATTAATTTTTCATCCTGTTTGTTTTCTGTAAGGTAAATAATGTGAAGTGCAAAGCTTTATGAATTTAGCCCAGATACCTGTAAAAAGTAATTTCTGTGGG